TTTACCTTTCTTTCATAGTATCCTCTTTTCCTAATTACCAAGCTTATTTTTCCTTTAAACTCGGGTTTATTGAGCTATAATTTATAAACAATAGAATGACCCTTTTGTGTTTGGTATATGAATTTTGAGAGTGTGTACAGTCATGTAGCCACTGTCACATTCACAATATACAATACTAGCATCACCCGCCAAAAAATTCCGTGTCCTCTTTCCATCCTCAGCTTTAGACATGCACTCATACATTCTCTGTTCTTATCATTGTTTTGTGTTTTCCCTTTCCATAATGTCAGGGATCACACAGTATGTTTACTCTTGAGCTTGGCTTCCTTCTCTGAACATTCATCCATATTAATATACATATCAGAAGTCTCAGAAGTCTGTGTCTTTTTATTGTTGAGTTGTAGTTCATTGTATAGATATACCATGATTTATTTACCCAATCAGTAGTTGAATGACAGTTGAGTGTTTTCTGTTTCGGGGCCATTATGAATAAATCCTCTATCAACATTAGTTTCAGGTTTTTGTGAGAAAGTATCCTCATTCCTCTTTGGTAAATACATATGGATGGACCACTGGGTCATAATAAGTATATGTTTAAATGTATAAGAAAGTGCCAACTACTTTCCAAAAGGACTACAATTTTGCATTCCCATCAGCAATGTGTGAGAGTTCCAGTTGTCCCCATTTTTGTCAGCACTTGGTATTGCCAATTTGATTTTGTTTCCATTTTTTTCAGCCATTCCAATAGGTAGGTAGTGGTGTCTCATTGTGATTTTAAGTTGAATTCCCCTAATGACTAATGATGTTAAGCATCTTTTCATGTACTTCTTTATCATCTCTGTCTTTCTTGGTGAAGTATCTACTCAAATACTTTACCCATTCTTTTAGTAGGCTGTTTTCTTATTACTCAGTTTTGAGGGTTCTTTAGATTCTCATTAAAAATCCTTCATCAGATGTTTATTTTGAAAATATTTTCTCACAACTTGTGACTGACTTGTTCACTTCAACAGTAATTTCTGAAGTGGAGACCTTTTTAATTTTGATCAGGTGTAACTTAAAATTTTTTAAATGAACTATACTTGTGTTATATCAAGGAAATAGTTGCCCAATCCAAGGTTTTCTCCTAGCCCAAGGGTTTTGTGGGGGGTTTTTTTTTTTGCTATCTTTTTTCCAGAAGTTTTACATTTAAATCTATGATCCATTCTGAGTTAATTTGTGTATATAGTTCAAGATATGAACCAATGTTCATTTATTTTGCACATGGATGCCCAATTATTCTACAGTTTGTTAGAAAGACCATCCTCACTATGGACTCATTATTTATACCTCTTTCTTTAGCTATTTTTAGTAGCTGCCCTAGGGTTTACCACATACATCTTTAAATTATTGCAGTCAACCTACAAATAACATTTAACCCCAAGTGTATAGTAAAAGAAACCTAGAAAAATAAACTTTCAGTTCTTCTTTAAGCTAAGCCTGTGTGCCCGGGCCTCAAGAGTGGGTTTTCTGGATGTTCCTGTCCCTCTTCCCCAAGGCAGCCATGCTCTTCCTTGCATCTGTGGTGGGTCTTGTGTGAGAGCAGCATCCTGCCCCTTTCTGAGCAGATCACTATGAGTATTGGTACAAGATACAGGTCCCAGAGCTCTTTCATTGACAAGACTTAGAGGGAATTTGTCTGTTATCCTTCTCCAGCCTTAATCGGTCTTCACCTGTGCCCTCGATGCTACAGTTTGCTGCCCCTCTCCAAGCAGTTGGCGGATCTTATTCTGCAGGGAGAAGGGGTCAGACAGGCTTCCTGACTTCCCATGATGGCAGCTGCTCCCCTCTTCCCGGCCTGCATTCCCGAAGGCGGCTCATGACGGTCTATTGCTTGCCCCCATTCTTCCTTGTGAGCATCCCGTGGAAATCCATGTTAAAAATCCTGTGAGTGCATGAGAGCTCCCATTGTTTCTATGGTTCCCAGTGGTTCCATATTTTCATGCTAGCCTACACTCAATCCTGAACAAGTCGCTAAAAATTTTAAGGTGGCTCCTGGAGTTGCTTCTGTCCGTGACCTGCCACATGGAAAACCTGTGCTCCCCTCCCAGCTCCCCTTGGAGAGGTCTGTGTTCACTTGGAAATTGGGCTTGCTTGCCCTGCAGCTTCAACTCTCTCAGGGATTCAAGAAAAGTTAGTTCATCTGATTTTTCTTGTTCTTATGGTAGGAACAATACTCTGTCCAGCTTTCCATACCCAAGGAGGAAGTAGGGCCCCGTCTCTACACAAAGGTTTTAAGCTTCCAGCAATAACCCTCCTCTCTTAGACACATACAAAATATAGATCAGATCAACAGGTTGCTTCAATATCCAGCCAGTCATTGGCCAGGTAAAGAAATTAAACTAAATCTTCCTGAATTATATACGTAAGTATTGATTGATCCTCATGAATTATTTGTTGATATGTAGACACATGAATCTCATTTTTGATGATTTCTTCTAATACATTTCTCGGCAGGCAGTTTATGCTTGGAATACTTTTAATACTGTTTTAATGCTTGTGTTTCTTTACTTTTTAAAGTACAGTAATAAAGTTCAGCATTTATGTTAGTTTCTTATGGCTGCCACAGTAAACAAACCAGTTGGCCTCACACAATAGACATTTATTCTCTCACAGTTCTGGAGACCAGTAGTCTGAAGTCAAGGTGTGGTTAGTTTTGGTTGCTTCTGGAGGCTTCTGAGGCATTCCATGCTTCTCTCCTACCTTCTGGTGGCTGTCAGCAATCCTTGGTGTCCCTTAGTTTGTAAATGCTTCACTCCAATCTCTGCCACCCTCTTCACGTCACCTTCCTCAGTCCGTAGTCTCTCCTGAATTTATAAGGAAGCTTACTGTGGGATTTAGGATCTACCCCCAATCCAGGATCATCTCATCTTGAGATCCTTAACTTACTTATACCTGCAAGGACCCTTTTCCCAAATAAAGTCACTTTCACAGGTTCTGAGGATGGGGGACCTACCGTACTCTCAGTGTATGTTTACTAGGTCACACGTCTTGTGTTGTTTTTAAGTTGTGAGTTTTGCATTCCACTGAGTCATTAACATGAACAACCATGGAGCTGTAATAATTTGAATAATTTAATCTGCTAAACAGGGATTAAGAAGAACTCGATTCATAATTCATATCCTAGCTAATCCATTTACAAATTGTGAGACCCTAGGTAAGTTAACTAGGACTCTGTGCCTCACTTTTCCCATAATTTAAATAAAAATAACATTACCTACATTCTCTCAGTGTTGTCCTGAAGATTCAATTAAATAAGACCATGTAGGCAAAGCAAGGGCATATACTAAGCATAATAAATGTTGATAACCTTCCCCTTTAACCTCATACTGCTATTCATTAAAACCACAACCTCTTCCTACATGAACTGATTATGTAATGCTTCATAGCATTTTTATGTCCATACAGAAATGAAAGCAAGAATGAGGCCTGGAATGGAGTCAGACAAAACAGATTCTAACCCAAACTTTACCACCACCCAGTTACTTAACTTGGCTTTCTTCTTTGGTCCTCAGTTTCCTTAAAGACAAAATAAAGTGCTTCGAAGTTATTGGCCATCTTCAAGTCCATTACAACCCCTTTAATACTGAATTTACACCTTGGTTGGTAGAATAAGTATTGGGGAAACTTCCAGACTTCCTCCTCATTTATTCTAGACTTTCACACCATTGGTGATACACTGATAATCTCTTAACTCAGAGAGTAAAATCAACACAATTCAGAGAATAAAAACAAGGCCTCTCTTTGCCAGAAAAGAGGACTCAGATTTGGAAGTCAAACAGGTGAAAGAATATGTGTTTTTTTTGTTTGTTTTTTTCTTTGCCAGGCCCAGTGGATAGTCAAGGCTCGTCTCCTCCCAGAGCACCCAGCACCGCCCCCACCCCCAGCATTTATGGCCACTCCAAACCTCCCAAGTATGTATTCCATAAAAGCAGGACCTGGTTCAAATCCCCTGTAATGTCTCCAAAGGGAAGGAATAGAGTCAATAATCAGGGCTGTGTCTGTGTGTCGTAAATTCCCCAATCCCCTATTCCCTCTCCTGGCTAGCACACGCAGGCGCACGCACACACACATAAACACAGCCATAAATATATACACTCCCATTTAATAGACTGGGGATTCAAATTACAGTTACAGTGTCATAAAACTGACTAATCTGCAGGGTGTATGCAGAAGTGTGTGTGTGTGTTTGTGTGTGTGAGAGAGAGTGTGAGAGTAAGTGAGAGAGAGAGAGAGGTACAAGCTGTCTTCACTTGAGGTCTTAAGTTCCCAAAATATGCAATTCTTCTGGGACTTTTAATAAGCTGTCCTCACATAACTGTCCTAGAAGCCTCATACTAGGATGCAGGGCTGGCTAGACAATTTACAGGCCCATTGCAACATAAAAATGCAGGTCCCCTTCTTCAAAACATATTAAAAATTTCGAAACTGCAACAGCAAAACATGAAACCTAGTGTGAGATGTTCTTGGAGCAAGGCAATTGTGCAGATTGCCCTCCAGGTGGTTAGGTAACACGTAGTGAGTCCGGACCCCAGCCTTGCAGCACATATGATATATCACGCCGAAATGTGCTATGGACGTGGGTGGCCTCAGGGAATCCAAGTGGTCTATGGAATCAGTCTGGCCTGGTTTGAACCCTGCTAGACCACATAATAAACTAATAGAGTCCCTTTGGACACTTCCATTGGTCATTTTGAACTTCAACTTCCCATCTATTAAATGGTGACAGGGAGACCCATTTCCCGGAATTACAAGTAGCATTAAATACAATAAGACATGTAAATCTCTGGGACAAACCCTGGCATGCAATAGATGTTCACACTGCCCTTCCTTTGGACACAGATTTGCATATCGGTTCAAACAAACAAACAAATGCTGGATATGAAAAGTGAAGCCCTTGTGACTGAGGCTTGCAAGTGGTCATTGGTGATGAAGGCCGAGTGGGATTTGAAAGCCTGACATACCTTTTTCAATGTCCTCTCATTTACCTCCACGGAGGCTTCTCCCTTGGGTGGTAAGAGATGACCTTCGGAAAGGCCCTCCCTTAGCGTTGGAGTATGGGGACTAAAGTGAGCATCAGTTGAGAGTGAAGACAAATTGCAAGGGGAAAAGGGGGAGGGGAGAGAGAGAAAGAAAGAAAAGTTAGCGGGGAGTTTGAAGAGTTCCCGGGTTTGCTTTCTTGGCAGGGACCAGGCACTTTTGGCAGTTGGGGTCCTGGAGCCGGGCCCGCGGCTCCGCGGCTCCCATTGGCCCGCCCGCGGCTGTTGCTACGCGGATGGACCAATGGAGCACAAGGGGCGTCGGGCTCCTCCCCTTCTCTGGATCTGACACGGAAGCTAGGGACGCGGTTGCTGCGCTCCTCTAGCCCCCCCCACCTCACCCCCCACGCCCCCCCCCCCGGCCACTGCCCGCCTCGGCTTTTCTTTTCTTTTCTCTTCTTTTTTAAATAAGGAGGGACCGGGGCAGCGTTGGGGGCGCAGCCAGGGCGGGACCGGACGCCTCCCTGCGTCTCGCCGGGGAGTCTGAGCCTCTGGGAAAGTTCACCTGTCAGACTAGTTCCTCCTTTCTGGGCTGCCCAAGCCCTCCTGGCTTTGCACAGCCCGAAGGCATAGGGCGGGACGTGCGGGTTGTTTTATTTTATTTTTTTTTTCCTTCCTGGTACATGTGTGTATTTTTATGTTTTAATAACTCTATCAACTCGGTGAACTTGAGCGAGAGCACCCGCTGCTTCTCTGGCCTCCGTTCTTTGCACCCCTGACAATTAGCCGCTGAGTCACTTCCCAAAGCTGCATCCCTCCTACCCCAGCTACACACCCCAACACACATGCACGTGCACACACACACACACACACACACACACGGGGTCTGGAGTATATGCATTGAAGAGCACAGTTTTCTTGCTCCAAAGCAGGGCCTCAGCTTAGATTAAGGAAATTGCCCGGAAGGGAAAGTTTCCAGGAGAAAGAGAGAGAACTGGGATGTCTGCTGCACTGGGTGCTATGGATTAATAAAAAAATACCATGAATACAGTCATATTAATAATAACTAATTTCTTGTATCAGACACTGTGCGAGGCAATTGCTTGCTTCATCCTAGTTATAGATGGGTAAACTGAGGCACGTTGCAGTGACATGCTTGCTCGGTCTATAGGAGGAAGTAGGACTTGAGTCTGAGTATCTCTGGCTCCAGAACCACGGGTTCTCCCCATGTTCCTGTGTTGTTGTGCAACTCTAACATAGCCCTTGTGTGGGGGGTTGGAGGTCTCCACCCCGGGCATGTGTCTCAGTAGAGTCCATGTCCCCTACTCGGCCCCACCCTGTCCCATGTGCAGCCAGCAAGGCTCCCAATGAGCATGTTTATGACGCCAGGTCTCCCCTCGCATTGCTAGTGTTTAACACTTTGCATGTTATGTGGATCTTCTTCAAGCTGCTTCCTTCCAATTCATCTTGTTATGGCTTCACCACTGGGTGGTCAATATGGCAGGCAAAATTAACTCTATTTACAGGGCAGAACAATGAGACACAGAGAGGTAGTGCATCTGGCCCAAGGTCACACAGTGATAGAGTGGTGGACCAAGTGGAACATAGATTTTTCCCTCCTCTCCTCCCTCTTTAGCTAGCCTCTCTGCTCTCCAACAGTGCCTATTGCCTTTAAATTATGTATTTCAAACAACAATAACAAAATGCAGGGTTTGGAGATGCAGAAGCGAAAGCAAGAAGTCAGTGAGAAAGTAAATTTATTCTACTTTTTTTTTTGGAGACTGCCTGAGAAGTGACCTCTAAGCTGGAAGCAGGGTTGACTGGTGGAGGAGCATCTGCTGGCAAGGCTGGTTTCTACTTGGCAGACGGCTACCTACCGTCCTAGCCCTTATTCTGAACCTGGCATCAGAGGGAAGCATGTCTGTACTCAGTCTGCTATTGCCTAATAGGCTCAGCAGAAAGGCCCCAACTAGCCTTCCCTCTTCTCTTTCCAGGGGGAGAGGACCTGGGCATACTCACATCTTTCGTAACCAAGAAGGAGCCTAAGGGATGTCTCCTTTCTGGTGACTTAAAGGAGATGCCTTTGAACTTCATACCCAGCATTTCCCAGCTGGTGAGAGCCTTTCTAGCTCCACCCATCCCCAGAGACTCCCTCTGTCCCACAAAGATAGTACTGTCTCCTACCTTAAATCCCCTTAGCTTAAAAAGCCTAGCTGAAGCCCTGCTTATAATCTTTCACTACAAAGTTCACTTTATAAAACTTTTCTTTAAAACCTATGGCAAATAAAAATTGGGATTGGAGCAAATCAGATTATTGTGTTTGTAGAAGATGATATAATTACTGGCTATTGTCCCCATTGTCCTACTATAACTTTTTAGGCAGCCCCGTCTTTTAAAGAATGTTTGCAAAGTAGCTTTCTTCCTGAAAATTAGCCTAAACCCCTCTGTTGCAACCTCTGCTCCCTCCCGAGCTTTGTCCAGTCAATGAAATACCTACCCACCTGCACAACGCTTTGTCTTTCCTGCTGTCAGTATTCTTTTTAGCCAAGAGCCCTACAAGTGTCCTTTCTCTTTTCCACAATAATTTCCTTGGAGTATGCTTTTCTATGCCAGACACTGAGGATTCCCACTCTCATGTTATAGTCAAGTGAGAAAAACACTATTACCCAAGCCCCATCAGACATTTAAACTTACTCTTATCCATGCTACAAAGGGGACACACATACATGGCACAATCACAGAGCATGCTAAAGGAATTTAAAGTCATTTAGAGCAATCAAAACAGTTTTCATGGAGGAAGTGATGTGTGAGCTGAAGTTTCAGGGAGGGCCATGGGGATGAGAGTAGATCGTAAGAAGAACCAGCATGGGCAAATGTCCTCCATTGGTTCTGACATCATGTGTCCAATGAGCACAATTAGCAGAGCCTGTTGTAGTTCAATCTACTTTCCATAGATGCAAATTACTTTTTATTAAGACTGGTAAAAATTAGCTTCTCTAAAAATCCCTAAGACAAGAAATTGGGACCACATGTTTAGGCCTGATTTTGCTAGGTGGGTGTGCAGTCCACTTGAGGGATAAAATCAACGCATTTTTCATTGCTTCTGTAATCAGGGAGTGGGAACATTGGAGCCCTACCGATTTCTGCCCTCAGCCAGTGTAGCTTATATTATTAAGAATTGTTCAACTTTTAGTGCCCCCGAACTGAAAGAGTTCAGATCCAAATGCTACCAAGATGTATTAAGTGCTGAGTAGAAGCCTGCTATTTTTAAGTATGATCCCGGGAACCCTTACAACAGCTCTGGGAGACAGAACTTTTCAACCCCTTCCTGCAGACGCGAAAACCAAGGCACAGGAAACCCTTGGGTCCGGACTCCAAGTGTGGATCATTGATGCAGAATAGGACAACATATTCTTTGACAGGGCACAGAATGAGTGTTTTGTCACAGGCTCACAAAAGATCAAGTTTGGACAGGATTTTAGAGCAGCTATCTTTTTTACAATTGTTACAGAGCATTTGATCTGGAACACTCTGACATATCTACTCTCAACTTGAGTCTCTCCTCTAATAGGCAGTCACAGCCTTTTTGATGAAGCCAGTCTTTTCCAATCTTTGAGTATTCAAAAAAACCTTTGCCTTCAAGACTCCCAATTGGCCCAAACAGAAAAATTACCATTTTAGGAAAGACAGGGATTCAGTGTTTGAACAAGGGCAGTAGTCATAAACGGAATCAGGTGTACTAACAGCAAAGCTACTTACTTAGAGATGATACCAATTCTATACGTAAAAAAAGAACCCAGAATAACTTCATAATGAAAATCATAATCTAAGTGTCCAAAAGCCCTTATGGGATATGCTCCCATTTCTGTCTATAGAATCCACTGTGTTCACTAGAGCCTGAACTAGGGCATGGAGTCATCCATTCTACTCAACAGTCTTCCTTTGAAAACCCTTCTAGACTTGACACTATCAAAATGAGGCTCTCAGGTTCACTTTTACAGGCTTTAGTACCTGGTTTGGTAGTGAAGGGACATGAAGGTACCATTTTTTCAGAGCATCTGGAGTCAGATTTCCAACTCCACAGGCATTCTACATTCTTGTTGCCCCTATATTTGGGTGCTTCTCTGAGCAACACCTTCTAGCTTACACCTATTCTAAGTATCAATCACAGCAGCTTCCCTAAATAGTCTTTCTTAGTCCATCCATCCATCCATCCATCCATCCACCTATCCACCCACCTATTCAATGACTGTTTACTGGGGTCCTACTACATGAACACTGGGAGAATGAAGTTAACAAAGCAGTTCTGTCCCAGCTTTCATGACATTTACAGTGTACTGGGGGTGGGATGGGGAGAAGACAATGTTTGAAGGACCAGTAATGAAATGTCAAGTCCCCATGATTATGCGCGACTACATTTCCCCTTCAAAATATTCCCTCTGGCTCTGGCTCCTGTGAATGGAATGGGAAATGGGGAAGAGGATGTTGTCTCAGGCAGTTGCTAATACTGCTAACATTTAATCGCCTTCTCTATTAATTTCCTGTAAGCACTGCTTGTGCCCTGAAATTACTGTTGCTTTTCTTCTTTTCCAGTTGGTTTCCAGTTGATCTGCTTTTATTCCACTAGAATGAAAGCTCTGTGAAGGGAGGAACTTTCTCGAGTTTGCTCACCTTTGAACCCCTGGCACCAGAAGAATTTCTGGAGCCAAGCCCTGTCATATGGGTTGAGCTAATGAATGACTTAGTCCTCAAACCTGAGTGAGTCAGGACTGCTAGAAGCACCTGAGAGAAAGTGAGCAGGAGTTATAGGAGGCCATTGGACCCACCTGTACCTATTGGGAATGTCCATCCGCTGGCTTCTATTATCATCACTGAAAGAGGCTCCCATCTCCTCACCAGAAATCCTTTGGGGATTTGGACAGAAGACTCCTCTTCATTTTACTAATTTAGTTACTGATTAACAACTAAATCCAAGTTCCGAGATAGCTTCTTGAATTTGCAACTGAAGAGCTTTTTTTTCTTTTATTCCCTAACCACCCACCCCTCTCTCTTCCCAGAAATAGGTGCCAAGCATAAAACCCATATACTTAGCAATTGGCTATGGAAGCACACGATAATCCCTCACCTTGAGCAAAGGAAAGAGAAATGGAAAACTTGATCCCCAGGTGGCTTTAT